ATATATCTTATTAGACGTTTTGTTGTGTAGTATCGCTGAGTATTTTTACGAGTTGTGCCGTATTTTGACGAGCCCGTAGGGCTCGTCAAAATACAAATAACGAGTAAAAATACTCAGCGATACTACACAAAAAAACGTCCAAGAAGTTATCCAACACGCCAAACTGTTATTTCAGTGCGGGCGAATTTCGCGGATATTTATTTACGGAGAGCGCGTGACAGAAGTATGGCGAAGCGGAACGGAATTGGCGCGTTGCCGTGTTCCTTTTTCTATTTACTTCATTAAATGAAGCTGTTTTACATCGTTTGATTCATCTAATAAACTTTCACCTATATTTGCCAGTCATTCTGACTCTTCGTTGTCGGAAATATGATTCAAATTGTCCGCCATTTTTTCTGTTTTCGTAACTACAAGCCAATTCTTCGCTTGCGTGATACATTCCAGAGATAAGGTGCAGCTGACTGAGAGGCACGGCCGCTAAGGGTTGGACGGGTCTTGGTGCTAGGTAATTTGAGTAATAAAGACTCGTTTGACCTAAGAGAGTACCTGGATTGCTTTTTGATGCTAATTAAATCAATCAAATAATTAGGAGCTAGACCATATAAGCACTTAAATGTCAAAAGTGAAATCTTAAACTTTATACGGTAACTAATCGGGAGCCAATGAAGATGGAAAAGCAATGGCATAACATAGCAGTATCTTGGTAATCCAGTGACCAACCGAGCAGTGATATTCTGTATCCGTTGGAGTTTCATGATATGTAAATTCGGGGGGTCGTATAGTAGACTGTTACAATAATCCATTTTACTGGTTATGAAAGCATGAACTAATGATTCAGTGACTGGACGACTTGAATATTCTCTAATTCTACGTATGTTATAAAGATACTAGAATGCAGATGAGCAGGTTCTGTTAATATGACTTAGCATACTCATTTTCGAATCAAACCAGGTTCCAAAAGTTTCGAACTTCACATGATGGAGGAATTTGGGACTCGCCAATCGATAAGATACTAATGTTACTGACTTTCTGAAGTTGTTGTCGCGTTCCAATCAAAAGACATTCTGTCTTATTGGAATTCAGTTTTAACTTATCCATATGCATCTACTGACTAATATCAGCGATACAAGATTCTATGGCAGTTAAGGGAGCGATTTCTTCCATGTCACTTCCTGGTCTAAATGCGTTGTACAGTTGTGTGTCATCTGCGTAACAATGGGGATTTGCAAGATGTAATTCGACGATCTTAAAAAGATTGCCGGCGTAAAGAGAAACTCATAATGGCCCGAGGCAGCTGCCTCGTGGAACTCCAAATTTAAGATTGAAGATATTCGATAGAACTCCGTCTATAGAGATGCGCTGGGTTCTCTTAGAGAGGAATTCAAACCAGTTAGGTGCAGAGCCTGAAATTCCAAAATCAGATTGGAGACGATGTAAGAGAATTCAATGGTCAGCGATATCAAACGCGGCGCTTAAGTCGAGAAGCACAAGCAACGTGACGCACTGATCTTCCATGTTCATCAAATGTCATTCTTTACTTTAAGTAGGGCGGTTTCTCTACTATGGTGCTGTCGATAGGCTGATTGCAGTGAAGGAAAAGATCATCCTCATTTAAGTAGGATTGGATCTGATTGGCTGCCACTCTTTCAACCAATTTTGAAATAAAGGAAAGATTGCTGATTGGTCAAAAATTTTTAAAAACCAAGTCAAGACCTTGTTTTTTTAGGAGCGGTCTAACAACTGAGTCTTTCCAAATATCAGGGAAAAAAGTATTGAATCTGTAGAATTTAACTCAGTGATACAGTATGAGATGGCCTTAGATTTGCCTTCGATGGGTTTTTCTTATACCGAAGTTATACGACGTCGCGACAAATTGGTTTTTCACCACAAATGAAAATTATAGCTAATGACAATGATTTTGTGTTCCAAGTCTGGGTTATCAAACAATCAGCGCGCGAGTGCTCAAGCATGGTTCCACTTCTAAAGGGAGATGCTAGTTTCTAACTCTAATTGTTCAAAAAAAGCTTTGAATTCTTATTTTAACTCTCATAACGAACAAAAGAACAATTAGGCTGCCATCAGTCTTTCAAGAATGCTGTCAGTAGGTAAGATGAAAAAATTTTCCATTGAGCTCATGAATGAAATACAGTACGTTATGCTCTCCGATTCGGAATCGCTTTGAATGGCAAAGCGGCACACAGGGTTGGCCAATACAATCCGTGAAACTTAGGCGTCCATTACTTCTCAGTTGGAATTTGGCCCTCCTTTCAGTGGATTGGACGAAGATTTACGATTAACCGGCAGAGAGAATAAAAGATTATGTAATATTTCACGACAGTTTCAATAACTCGCTCAATAAATACAAAAATACTAGCGTTCGCATTCGTTTTTGAAGAATTTTGACCTTGTTGTACTGTAAGTGCATCGATCACCGCGAAGACAGAAGCTAGAAAATTTTTTTACTGGAAAAGGGATTTTTTCCGGCCTCAATTTTCAGCGAAAACGAAATTGTTAGTTACAAAACTACGAAAAACCACTCGCAATGAAGAGTAAAAAATTCTTTAAAAGTTCGTGATAGTAATGATGGAGCTTCGCACAGTCTGCTTTTTTGTACATTATTTATTATGTGCCTCATTTCTTACTACTCTAGTAGTTTTGTCTGAAGCGTTTTTTGTAAGGTATATTCTAAATTGGAAAGACCTCTTATAAACACTTGCTTCTATAACTTCTTTTTCTCATACATTTTTAATTTGAAAGGCATAAAACCGGTCATAATACCCGACTAACTCCACAGGAAAACTTAATTTTTTCCTACATTTTTAATTGGAAAGACATAAAACCAGTCTTAGCACTTTAATTAACTCCACAGGAAAATACGACAACATCGTGTAATTCTACAACTTCTTACGTGTCCACTGAAAGTGTCTTACACAATACCTAAGGTGATTTAAAACATTTTCCAACAACTCAGTATTCGACTACCGTTGAATGTTTACCGAACAATTTATTTGAGTCTTTTCCTAACAGTGTGATTGTTCCGTATTAATACTTGCGGCATTCTTTAAGAGTTAGACTTGCAAACTTTTTCAAAAACACTCCGCTGGATTTTAATTGAAGTATACTTTAGGTGTATCAGATAGAATTCCATGAAAGCATAAAAATGCTGTTTATCGTTTTTAAATATCTGCATTAGTTCCGGAGATGTTTAAGTCTGAAAAATGTGTATAATGTGCAAATGAGATGGATATAGAGCTATATATCTTGGCCAATTTGCAGTGCAGACCATTGAAATTTGGCAGGCTAACAGTTCTACCGGAAACACACCTGCGGCTATAAAAGTTCTGTTCCCATGACAACTCACTATTTTCCAGTTCCCACCCCCTTAATTTCAACCTCTGCGATACTAGTGCTAGAGCTTTATTCTGTTCAGCAAACAGAATAAAGGCTAATAGTTTTTAAAGGAACTGTTTCTGGCTGGGTCGGTTGGGGTAACGAAATAATTTCAATATATCAACAAAGTTGAAATGGTAAATTGTCCACCGTTACGATTATAACTAGCTATAATTCTTGAAATTTTTCTCTCGTCTCTTCATTGTTTCAGAAGAGTATACCCAGTTGCTAATTTTAGTTCCTTATCTAGATTTCTATAACGAAACCCAAAACAATTTTGATCCGATCTTTTGTCTAAAGAACGCTTTTGGAAACAAATATTTCAAGTTTAAGCGTACACTGAAATGGTAATGCAATGTGAATGATTCTAAAATGCTTTCGCGCATCTTCTCACCTTTTTCTTGAGTAAATACCTTGCACTGTTATTGATGAACATATTGCTCTGTTCAGTAATCATAAGGACTCTCCTGTAGTGTAAAAATGCGGACTGTAGCAAGTAAAACAAATCAATGGACAGAAAAAAAATCATAGGCAAGTAGGACTCTCGTTATAACTATAATATAACTAGGTAGACCTTTCTTGCAGTTAGAAAAGTCATAAGAAAGCCAGCTTTTTAAGGATATCGCATGTCAGGTGTCCTTTTATCAGATCCTACTTTCCTAGCTACTTAGTGGTGTAACGTGGACGGCGAACAGCTGCCGAGTCAAAATGTTTAGTTTCTGATGATGTCATTCATATCATACAAAGAAAAACCCCCTTTATAGTACAGAAGAGAGGTACTTTAAAGCGATTGAAGGTAACAAACCCCTTAGCTTGACTTTGAACTCTGCTGCAGCTGAAAAACATTTAGAAAGTTTGTTTGATTTGGCTGCGTGGCTGCCAGCGTGGCTGCCAGCATGGCTGCGAGCGTGGCCGCCAGCGTGGCTGCCAGCGATGAGCGGGATCATCCTCGTGCAAGTTGGAATAAGCAAGCGCAGTTAAAACTTTTCAAAGACTACAAATTCCACCCGTCTTATCATAGGATCGCGCAGTCTTGCTCCCAAAAAATTACTCGTTTTTATGTATTCTAAACTATTCTCGAAATCATGTGACTATCAATACAAATAGATCATTAGTAATACGTTAAGTCCCAAATGCTACGGTGCAATTAATTGCAGCCGTTGATTGTTCTCGTCAGGCAACAAGTTCTAACCCCCCTCTGGAGCGAATGACGAGGGGCGTACGCTCGAAACGTCGGCCTCAGAAACTCTTTAGGGTGGCCATTTACACCATCAACTCAGTCGATAAAACCAAACTATCTTGTAAACGGAAATAGATCTATAGTTAAAACATTCTGCGCCACCACCCTCCGCAAGCCAAAGGATAGACAGATCGCTTGTGATCATTGCTTTTCAGGTTAAAAGCAGATACCTTAAAGTGCGTTATCACTACAGGTTTATTTACTTATTTTTGTTTAAAAATATTTGATACACAAAAGGTTAATGTTATTCACAATTTAGATGCGATGGGGATCGAAATCAAGAAACCGTGACCGCCTTATTGGCTCGCTCTGCGGCTATGGCGTCCAACTCGTTTAAGGTTTTTAATTTAGACGTGAGTTTGTCCATATCTCTTGGTGCACGCCCCAGGTACTGAAGAATCTGGAGGTAGGTTTCAACCATCCACGCCCTGAAACTCATGGCCCTAGACACTGTTGGTCTTTTGCATGCTTTGCATACCTGGGATTGTGTATTGTTGCAATTTTTTATCAAATCTCCTGGACCACTTAATTTTCTAATTATTGATCATTGTTATCATTGTTTGCTTTTCTTTGATCTACCAGCTCCCTAATACAGTAAAATAAATCTTTTTGTCTCTTGATGATTTCCTGTTTATCAGATCCTAGGCCGCCCTGAACAAGGAATTGAAGTTGACTGGGTTGTGGAAGACACATTAGGAAACTGGTGGAGACCAAATTTTGAAGCACCTCAGGTACATCAAATTTGTAATAAACCCAGTATAGGAGAATCATTGGGTATAGTATGTTTCTTTGGAAATTGAATATGTTCAATTGCCAGATAGGTACAGGTCTTTTGACTTGCCATTTCCTCGTTATCTACTTGTACTTCAGTGTCTCTGAAAGAAAATGGTTGACAATAATGTACTCAAGGTACAGGCAAGTCATTAAACCCGTTAGGCACCTTCATTCCAGTGTTGCTCCAAGGCTTTATGTTCCATTTGTACAAGGCACCTTTCAGCATTCAGCAGCCATGATTTTTAATGAATTACCAATAAATATAAGGAATTGCAAAGATTTTAAAGAATACTTCAGGCTCTGCAAGGCATTCTTAAAGGTGCGCACCTTGTCTTCCTTGTAAAGACAAAGAAACAAACACCACCACCAAGCACTATATTCTACATATTTACATTCATGTATAGTTTTTATTACAATTTAGTTTTTTTCCATTTTTGTTGTACATATAATGTTAAAAATTAGTATTGTAGGCCTTCAAAGATGAAGAGCCACATCTTTTTATGTGGATATACTGTGAATAAACCATTATTATTATTATATTGTTATTATTATTATTATTATTATTATTATTATTATTACAAAAGCTACATGTTCAGGAAGATATTAGTAATAGTCTTAAATGTTCATTTTTTTTCCCACTGTAGTATCCATATATTCCTGCTCACATAACAAAGCCTAAAGAACAAAGAAAACTCTTTCTTGTTCAACTTGGAGAGAAAGGTATATTGTTTTAATGTTGTGTTAAACTTTTAAAAGGTTAGATTTCAGTACTGAGGTTTTCAAAAACACACTACTGGTAACCCTCTTTATGAGTCTCCATGTTGTGGGAAATTCTCAGCAGTCATGGGAAATCTGGAAAATCATGGAATTTTCTTATTGAGGATACCTTAGCCCTTTCATTTCAAGATCTCATAAGTAATTCTCCCAACTGTGTGCCATACAATTCTTGTCATATCAGTTTGGAGAATTTGATATTGGATCAACTAATAATCCCCTTGTTGAAATTTTTCTCAATTCTCAGTAGTTGTCTACTTAATATTGTAAGGAGAAATTCTGTCTTGGTCACTCACGGGAGTTAAAAAGGTAAAATCTAAAGCTCTTCATTTCTTTCCAGCTAACTTTGCTGTGCCTCGTAACTACAAGTTAGTTGCAGCACCGCTGTTTGAATTGTATGATAATTCTCCTGGTTATGGACCAGTCATAGCCAGTCTTCCTCAAGCGCTTAGTAGGTGAGTGGCCTAACCTGTCATGTTACTTTTTACCTGCATTCAATTAAAAACCATTTTATGAAAAGGTGGAATCAAAATTAATGATAGAGGTGAAAAATCAATACAAGGAGAGGGGTGTTTTATTGTTAAGAGGGTTATTAGTTCCCAGCCTCATCCTCCACATGGAGGACCAGAGAAACAACAGATGACAACTGTTAAAGTGTACAATGAAAGGCAAACAACCACGGTGTAGTTATGGGGGACTTTTAGTGTTTTATCTGTCCACAAATGCAGTTCAAACCGACAGCTAGTTCTTATTTATATATTTATTATTTATTTATTTAAGGATTTGTACCAAGTACTGGAGCAGAAACAATAGGACATGGGTCCCCTACGAAGTTTAAGCTCCAATAAACCCACCCATCCC